TATCGCCGGCTGGATACGTTATACGTCCTACTGCTGAATGTTCCTATTCTGATCCCTCTGCAACAAAAACAAAACTCGTTTCCATTGGGCCAAAATTGTAACTACTGTTTTTAACAGTAATTTGTATTAACCCAATAAAGGTCTATCTTATCTTATCGCTTTGTTCTGGAAAAAGAATCAAATAATCACAAGAAAGGTGAAGAAAAAAAAGAAAATTGTATACGTTACAGAACGATTTGTTTTCCTTTATAATAGTCACCGTTGTAATTAGTGATCACGGCGGTATTTCAGGTTTTTGTTAGTGCATGATAAATTAGTAACATGTTTGTTTTTCCACCAGTAGAGTATACTTGTATTCTGTAGTTTAAAATTTTCATATCTTTCTTGAAGATTCTTGTTAAAAGCCTGCAAAACTTGTAATTGGGGAAGAAGACTCAGTCTCCCATGAATTTATTCTGTTTTGGACCGCACAGTAATGATCCAACTTTGGATCAAATAACTTAGTGGTACCCCATGTAAGAGTGGGAAACTAAACGAAGCTCTTTTCCTGTAATTCAGAGCTGAAAAGTGGACAAAAAACTGATTTGAAGTTGACTTGATTCTACGGGTGAAAAGGTTAAGGGTTTGGCAACATTTAAGGAGACTGAAATATGGTAGCGATAACGATATGGAAAGTGATCCAGTTTTTGGCAACGAAAACAGAAAACATGCATTCTTTCTGGTGCTGAGTCATGTTCTTAAATCTCCAGCCCGCACCCTGTTAAATTTTTTACATTGCTCTTATCAAATCCGTTTTTTGATCAACCTCACAGTTTACACCTCAGTTAATAACATCCTTGATCCCATCCTAATATTACCTGAACGTCAGCTCATTCTCAGTTTACCTCCGGTGAGGTTTCCGCAGAAAGAACTGGCAAATAACATGACATCGGCTTAGCCCTTATTAAAAGGTTAAGCCTCAATTATTAGCTATAGAACTGATTTGATATCAGAAGTTAACCTCCTTGTAGAATGACTGTGACGTGACACGTCGAGAACCTCCCCGTAGAATGCCTACGGTGACATGTCCGGGTAATAGAAACAGAATTTTTAAGTAGCCATCTGAACGTTACAGCTATAGAAAAGTAGTTTTCCTTGAATTGTTTGAGAAGTCTACACATCATCGGGCTATCTTACGTGCCCCAAGCCGTGAAACATAACCAAGCATTGACGTACATGTAAATAAGGAAATATGTAAGCTGTGTCATTTCCGATAACTCTAATTTCCGATCACTTAATCAACTGCTCCAGAACACGAACCCTTTGCGACCCTGTACATTAAGATTCCTTCTACTCTAAGAACCTCCAAGGCCAAATTTCAAACATCTCCTCACGTCGCTTGAGTTTTCCATGAAAAAAATTAAAGGAGTCATCGAGTACCTTCTCAGTAACAGATAACTGCTGGGTTAGGTTTCTCTGTTGATCCGGGAGATTCCTTAATAGGATTCAGCTGGACAGACCCTGCCCTGAGGCTCAAACCTTTACATTCTAATTCCCCTAAACAAGCACAGCCTTTTTACACACAGAACAGAAACTGCTCCTTACTGTAAGTTCACTGAAAGGATGATAATTTCTAGTAACACTTTTTCTGTTAGTATGCTTTTGTCCCAACAACACATCTTTTGCTGAAAGCATATTCCACACGCCCTTTCAAGTACCGTTTAAAAATAGCTACCCTCTTTCAGTAAGCTTCTTCTAAACTAAGCACTGACTAAGCACTTTTCCGGGCAAGTCTTCCTCAAATCTGAGTTCGAACAGCTCTCTGTAGAGAGCGCTCCTCCCCCAGGTGTAGAGAACACATGTACAAACCTCACTTATAAAAGTCACTTGAGTTAATTATTGGGAGTTAATTAACACTTAAGTAGTGACAGATTTTTGTTTTTCGTAGGAAGTAGTTACAGTATATCACACTGTTTTTTAAATGAGGGATAGAAAAACGGATGAAGTCCAAACTTGGCTTAAAAGCGAATGTCTCAGTGACTCAAATAAAACTCAAACGTGATGAGAAAAGAACGCCATCATAACTAACCTGGGACCTGGCGTTCCTTTTTTTTAGTAAACAGGAATTGCCTGAACTGGGTAAGCTCAAAGCCAATCAGCTGTTACTCGATCGAGGAACCGCGCGCGGAACAGCTCATTTTTACTATCAAATTTCATCACTATCGCTGCCACTGACCCATGGCCACTACAATTGAAAAACTGCGTCAATAAACGGTTAAATATTCCTCATGTATGTAAATTTCTTTCTGGGGTATCTACACTTGTGATCTTTTTCATTCGATTACAGCATCCCGCAGACAAGCATAATTTCCCCCCGAGAAAAAGAGGGGTAATCACTAAAGAGCAGTTTTGCTGGGCACCACACACCACACACACCGTAATAAATATCGTTCATAAATTAAAAATAGCTACCTCCTTTCAATTAACCCCGGTTGAAGCCTCCTCAAAACTTCAACAGGGGATATTAAAATTACCCTCGAAGTTCATTGGACGCCGGAACCAAGAGACTGGGAGAGCGATTTGTATCGGACCACAGGGCTTGAGATAGGGGATCGGACGACTGTACGAGACGTTGGGAAATGGCGTTTTCGCCCCTTGGTCCTAGAGATCCATTTAGCCAGCCTAGCATTAGCGTTACTAAAGGAGCGCGGCTATATGGAAGGATGGGGTAAAAAACAGCGACAACTTTCTTCTCATTCATGCCACGTTTCTCAGAGTTTTGCGATTGTTTTTGCTGTTATTTGGTGGGGGGAGGGAGGAGTGAGGCAGAGAGTCCAAATTCGTTTATGCTTCAGCGTAGCTCAATCATTGTCAAATGTCCAAATGAGGATTAATAACCGCCGCCTGCTTGGCATGAAGCTGATGGTCTGGAAATAGCAATACCATTGTACGGTGTGATGTAGATTATTCTTCTAATCTCTTTGGGTAGATATACGTGATCGTATATTTAGCTGGGGAGGTTAAAGGACCCGCCGCTGGCACGATCTTCATTTGGGGGTTGTATGGATAATATATTTGAACCTAAAACCCAGGGGGAGGGTACTCCCTATATTGGCCTACGAAAGCTAGGGTAAGAAATTTCAATCTGTAAAAAGGACTACAAGGGCTAACAGGTGCAATCTGTGGCTGTGGAAAATCGAGAAAACATTCTGGGTTTTGTGATTTATTCTTATTTGAAAAACAGTGCATTTCTCAACCGGGGTCTACTCGTATTCCAACATGCCACTGCACGGTAAGACCCCAAGGGCGGTGATGAGCTCATGCTGCCTCGTTCCTCTCCGCCAACTAAGGTTAAAGCAAAACGCAAAGGTCCTTTAAAAAGTGAGCCACAAAAATTGAGTCACCACTAGTTTGCGTCTCCGCTCATCCTGAAGTGTCTTGCGCGACTTGAATATTAACCTCCATCCTCTATATTGCATCTGGGTGCGGGACAGAAGCTGTTGTAGTGTATATGGCGAACTTTACTTACATAATAGAGCAATTTTCAATTGAGTGTTGAAAGTAATCCAGGATTGAATTGGTTTTGCTTTACTGTGCTGTTTGATTGGCCTAGAAAACTCGCGCCACCCTCTCAGCCAATCAGATGTAAACTAAAACCAATCGCTCCTTGGTCACTCGCGTTTTCCCGCGCTACAGGCCGGTTACACGCGTTTACTTCGAGTTGCCATTGGCTCCCTCTGATAATTTCCTTTACTCTGATTGGCCGTTGTGATCACTTTGGTTTTGGTTTTCCACACTCAATTGAAAAGCGCTCTAAGTACGAATACCAACACTTCGTCATCAATTCAATGCAATACACAAATATTTTTAATTTTGATATTTACATACAAAGTATCGCAATACATTAAAGACAATTCTTAGAAAAACACTCTCGCTTTATGAACTTACGGACCCAATAGTCCAAACAGCTGGAAACTATAAACTTACTTTCATGCAATTTACAATTAGCTGGAACCTAGACCCACGCCATTATGGACAGGTTCACACCCCTAAACTATCAGCGTGATCTCGACACCGAAATTACTATTATCGTCATTTCTTGCCTGGCCTCAAAATTAAGAAAGTCGTCATTTTGAGGCCAAATAAGAAATAATGATAATCGTTATTTCGATGTCGAGATCATGTTGAAACTATTTGGGAATTGCGAAACGTTGGTTCACGTTCGAAATTCAAGAATGAACAGAGAATTCAGGGACCTAAACCCGTTTTCTTAGCGATGTTACAATATTTAATGTTGCAGGATTTAATGGTCATTACCTCATATACTTCAAATGACTAACTTTGTTCATTGTAGTGAGCAAGCAGACTCTGGGTTCGCGTGTGGCTCTGTCTTCCTTCCACACCCTTAACTCCAGGAGCTTACTTGCATGTTAAAATGTAATTATTTGTAATAAAACAATTGTAGAAAGCTGAGTAGCATGATGGCTATTAAGACGAAACGGCCAAAGCACAAACAACTTGCAAACTAAAACCCATTTTGTCGTGAAGAGAGCGAACTTTTCGCAAAATTTGTTGTCCCTCTGCTGCTTCTGTTTTTGTTTTTTTTGCCTGTGCAACCAGGTTCTTTCCCCTCGGCTATCACTACTTCCTGGAAGGTAACATAAAACCCCTCGAGTCCTTTTTAACAAAAACCCCTTTCCCACAAGAGATCTAATTCGGCAAAAAATTCAATGCAATGGCCTAATCAGTACAGCTTAGATATACTATAGCCTGCGAGAGCAGACGGCTTTCTTGTTCTTATTTCACACCCGAGAGTGAAAACAAACTCCGAAAGGCGTCCACTCCTACTTCTTTGATATACTACCAAGTGTACCAAAAAGATCGAATAAAAGATAATTTCTTATAAATTGTTTACATGAAAATTGACTCTAAGAACTTACAATTGAGTTGCAAATCTGTTACAAAGGACGATTGATAACAGTGGCGGATCCAGGCCTTCTGATAAGGGAGGGGGGGGGGGGCCTGGTCATCCAGACCCTGGATAAGCGGGGGGACGGTCTCAAAAAAACTGTGTTTCGGCCGTTCGGGCCTCAAATTGAGCTAAAAATAAGGAGGGGCCCGTCCCCTTGATCCGCCACTGGATAAAATAATTGTTCATGTGGGCTCGATGTTTCTGCAAGACCGTCAAGCCTTCTATTTTAACAAGTTTCACTCCCAAATATGAACAAGTATGCCTCTAGAAAATCCATCCTGATTTCGTTCTCACATTTTTTATGACCTGTATCATAGCTAAAGCACAGAGAAAGGAGCAAATGTTAAGTCATATATTACATTTTCAAACTTCCAGTTAACCTTATTTTTTCCGTATTGAAAATATTTCACAAGTATCCCTTTTGTGCTCAATAAAACAAAACCTCCGCAGCACCCGGCATTAGGTGCAATAACGTCTCGGGAGAAACAAGAAGCAAACGTTACACCCTTGACCGCTCAAACTGTTCTAGGTTTTAAAGGTTGTATGGGGTTGCCAACAGAGAGATTTAGAAACACGGTTACGGCAAACGGCAAACGGCAAACGGCAAACGTCAAATTCTACAAAGTGACTAAGTTTTCCTTTCACTTGCCATCTGCCGTTTATTTTATCCACCAAAAAAATTTAAAAAAAATGTTTTTGACAGCTTTTACCGTCTGACTTTCTAATTTGAGATATTTTCAACTTGAGTCTCGCGTTTGCCGTTTCCTGTAAACGGGATTCTAAATCTCTCTATTGCTTTAGCGCGTCAACCGCTGTGTGGTAGGCGCTCGAAAGGGAGACACAAAAAAACCCTTGGAGATTTAATGGTGGCTTGAAAAACTGACACATCAACCGCAAGGCGTGCGGTCCAGAAATTTTTTTGTATATGTTAACTATCAGTCACCACAAAATTGGTTTCCTTGCTCATAATTGTATGTTTTTTCCCTCTTTGGTAAGGTTTATGTTGTACACAATTTTTTTGACTCAAGGAAGGTCACGTGACTGCAAACTGCAGGGGGCAGCGGGTCCTAGACGACAAACCAGACCATTTTGATTGGTAAATTGATGGGTGTATCGTATTATCTGCAAAACTACTGAAAACGTGAACTTGAAAGTGAACAAAACTTTGCTTTCCGCGCCTGGCCTGTTCCAGGCGTTCAGATACTAGAGCGCGGGGGTAATTGGGGAGCGAGTTAGGTTGTACACCGGGAAAACCAGGGGGGGAGGGGGGCGAGAGCGAGTTCTCTCCCCCTTTCCCCCTCTAGTCTCCTCTCGTTATTTTTTCTTCGTGAATTTTTCTCCCGCGCTCTACTATCTGAACGCCTGGAACAGGGTATCCGCGCCTGGCGCGAGTGACCCCGAACTACCTTTCGAGCACCTGCCATGCGCCCTCCACCGCTAAAATGCGGTTGTCCGACTCACCCGTGGGGCGTCAGAGTCAAAAATGATTTGTTGGTCTTTTAAAAGTAATTGAGGCAGGCGTCCTCATTTTTCGAAGAAGACAGAGGCTATGTCCACTTATACGTTTATACCGTCCAGGCTTCCCTCTACGCATGAAAGCTAGAGAACGATGATAACGAAAATTTGCGGTCAATAAAACGGATAAATGTCGTTCTCGTGTGGACAGCGGTAAACAAATAGGTTTGTATGCGTTAACAAGGTTTACCACCTCGCGCGCTTTACAGTGCAAGTAAAACAAACGTTAACATTAAGTTTTTTAACTGACTATGCTTCTGGTAACGAAAATTCTCCATTTTTTTCTAATCCTGTTGTGGTTTATATGACAAAATACTTTTAATAACCGCCTGCTGTGATTTGATGGATTGGTGACTTGGTGGCCTGATGGCAACGGGTTCCAAGCACTCAGCGGGTGGAACGTACACGCTCTGTTGGGTCTGGGGACGAGCGGAGTGTCGGGATGCTGACGGCCTTTGGTGGGAGAACACACGCGGGGAAGAACGGGACTGCAGCCTACTTCGTATTTCTAAAAAAGAAAGCATTTAGAGATTAAAGCAGTTCAAGGCTTTTTGTCCAGTGAAATAGGACCCTAAATCCTTCGTCACTTGGCACTAAGGTTACATATCTACCAGTTCGTTTTTCACTGACTAGTTTTTCCTTTTTTTTCTTTTTGCGACCAACCTTGAGGCTGACTAGCCTGCGTAGCTGGCGGTTTGTTTGGAGGGAGGGAAAGAGCCGCGAAAAACGCGCCGAAAGTGCGCTAACGAAAAAAACCTGTTTATCGTTGTTCCCGCCCCATTATCCTTGCGGCTTCGTCGCTCATTTCGACAAACAAAACCGCCAGCTGCGCGGGCTGGAGACTGGCTGAAAATCATACTTTTTTTGTTGTCAACAGCTATCCAAAATTGAGCTCAGAGTGACTCTGGATTGACATATTTTCCGTTAACTCAAGAAGAGCGGTATTATCGTTCAAAAAAACAGTGAAAGTACCTTCAATTTCTGCTTCTGCCGTTCCAGGCCTCGGTTTGCTCCGTTCAGTCAGCGCTTCTTTCTTTTTCTCCAAGGCAATAAACGGAGAACTGGGCTTAGATCCGGGACTTGTCCATTCATACTGGGTGTAACCTTGAGCTGAGCCCGCCGAGCGAGGCGTTCTGGGAAAAAAGGCGGTGAAGGCATAAGTGAAATGAAACCAAGTACAGTTGAACCTCTCCACAATGGCCACCTTGGGGACAGAAGTAAGTGGCCGTTGTAGAGAGGTTTAAATAAGAGTCAATGTATGGACTGTCTGCCCGGACAAAATAAAGTAGCCGTTGTACAGAGGTGGCCGTTAGCGGAGGTTCGACTGTAATTATTAGACTGCTTGCAGCCCGCCTTTTCTCTTAAAATCCGTCTAGTTCTTATCTCAGCCGACGCAATTGCAAACCACGACGTTATGTTCATTTTTTCTTCTTGGGCTTACACCCTCGTTTATCGCGGTTTGCGTGCGTGGGTTTCGCGTGCAGCAACTTTGAAAAGAAAAACAAGAGACTGCTCGCAGTCTAGTAATTATTTTTGACACATGCTTTGTTCTTGTTAATGTTCAATTGTTTTTTATCATTTTTTGTATTTTAACGCCACATGTTAGTGGTTACCTCTAACGTTAGATTTCAAGCAATTGACCCCTGAATCTAATCAGAGAGCTTGTTCACTATCGTGAGCTTCCACCAGAACACTCAAAAGAAAGTGCTTGTAAATACGCAGACAACGACGGAATACATGTAAAGACATTACTCTAAGGCACGGCAGGTTTTTAGTGAGTTTCCCCTGTTAACCTTTTGCTGCGAAGGAATTCAGTATTAGGTATAAACAGAAGCCCTGGTGTTACTTAAGTTATACTACTACATGAGAAATTACTGCAATTTGATTGGCTTAGAGCAGTGGTATTTCAGCTTAATTTGAAATACCTACACGTGAAAATTACAAACCTTTTGTGGGTAGTAGTATAAACAAATAATAGCATGATTTGTACGTGATATTTGGCATAAATACCACTCGTGATATTTCAAAATTGTCTCAAATTTCACTCGCCTAACGGCTCATGAAATTACGTCTAACAATTTCGAAATATCACTCGTGGTATTTATGCCAAATATCACTACTAATCATGCTATTACCTATACAAATGTCAGCAGAGACAAGATTTATGGCTGTGATCGATAATCACTGTATGTCTCCAACAAAAAAGAGAATTATCCTTTCTTGTTTCCGAAAATGGAAACCCAGAGAAAGGATCAAACAATTAGCAAGGATCGACAAGTATGGGAAATTACGAACAAGAAAGAAGGAAAAAAGAAAAAAACCTGAAGTTGTCAGAGAAAGCCCAACAGAGTCGAGGCTACGTGCAAACGGATGCAACAACTCCCACCATTGTTGGCCCAACAATGTTGGGCGTTGTTGTGTCCGTTTGCACTTAGCTAAAAGTTTGACTGGTTTCAAACTCTGGACAACAACTTCCAACAACGCGCAACAACATGCAACAGGGCGTGCAAATGGAAGCAACATATAACATCCAGCAATGTTGGTAGTTGTTGGCTAATATTGATGCGTCCGTTTGCATGGGGCTTTAATAAGAGGAGAGTTTTGACTGTATAAAATAGGGAGCTTTAGCAACGACAACGGCTAAGGCAGTGAAAACGTCACTCATTAAAAAGGCTTCGTTTTTTCAAACCTTCTCGCGATTATTCCGAGTCGCGTAAAATCTCAAATACAGTTGAACGTTCCCGAATTGAAGTCTTAGAGGCTGCACCCCGTTTTCAGGGAAAAAGAAAAAGTTGTCGTCTTGTGTTTAGGCTCTCCATAAAACGCCACTTGAGGGAATTTCACGTCATTGTCGTGCAGTGACGGCAAGGAAATGTAATGCACGTGATGCACATGCAAAGTTGTTGTTTTGCTCATCCAAGCCTATCGCTTTTTTTGACGTTCTCCTTCCAGTTGCCGTCGCCGTTGCTTAATAAGCTCCCTGATGAGCATAACAAGCGCAATCTAAGTCAGAAGATGGCATTGCTCGGTAGCAGTTTGACCGGCGCTGAATATATTTGTCGGTGCTTTTATTAAGACGTTTTCATTTGGTGCTTACTCCTTCATCAGTTAAAATAATAAAGCTTTTAAGTGTATACAACGGTCAAATGAAACGACAAGTACAAAAAGCTCAAACACAAAGGGGGTGGTTTCTATGTTCGAACATGAATCTGACTCCAAAGCCAAGTTCACGAAGACCAAAACATAAAAACGGATTTTGAAGCAGTCACAGATGTTAGACCCGAGCCTCATTCTTACATGCAACAACTAGTCTTGGAAGCTTGGTTGACACTAAAGGATCCGCAATCAGGGAACGACCATCTCCAAATCCCAGAGGTCTACGAATCTTTGGCACGTGCACGAGTCTTGCGCTACGTTTTTTGAAACTCTACACATAAGATACTCAGCACGCGTGTTCGACACACTACCTTTTCAATATAATGTAATATTCCAACTGATGAAGACTAAGCACTAACTGAAGCACCTTGAGAAAAACATTGATAAGAATAGCGAGTGTCACTACTTTAAATCTAAGGTACGGGTAAACCAAGCACAAAAACGTGCAACCTATTTTGCAACTTGCTGCCAAAACAAGTTGAATAGCGATGATGAGAGCGTTTTACCACCCACGAATAATTCGTAGCAAATCAAGTTGTTCCAGAAGGCGGTAAGTTGTTGCAGAAAGTAGAGAGCAGTTAAAAAAAATCTGTACACGTAGCCAGTTTTGCCGGACCAAGGCAAACTTGTTTGCAGCAAGTGACGTAAGTTCCCTGTATGGCGTGACTCCCGCGTAATTTTATCCAATCAGAATTCAGTATTCTCGCAACTTGCAGCAACCTGACTTACGGCAAGACAGGATTGAACGTGGGTGATATTAAAAACGCAAACATTGCCCGTTTTTCTACCCTTTTACCGCAGCTTTAAGCATTTTGAGTCTCATTATAGAGGTCGCAATTTCATCGTCATCACACAATTAGCACACATCGACTCACTTCATGTATACTTCATGTATTAAAAGAGATGAATAATTTTCATGAATTTCAGTTCGACAGCTCCTGGCAGTAAAAAAAACGTCTTTTACATACAGTACCTTGGTTTTTCTGCTTCTTCTTTCTCCCGTTTTTTCCTTTCTATTTCCTCTCTCTCCTTCTTCTTTGCGTCATTGTATTTCTGAATTTCATCCAAATCGAGGCTGGATTCCTGCTGCAGTAGCTGATCATCATACATGGGAGATTTCATGACTTCATTGTATCCATCTCTGAATTCACGGTCTGAGGTGCACACTGCACGGATCATGTCCAGGACAATTTCTTTTTCTGATTAAAATCAAAATACATAATTTCGTTAGCTTTTTTACCCATCCTGTAAAATCCATATGTTATTATTGCAACACCATCTTGAAGCAACATGCACAACACGTAAAAGTTAGAATAAATGTAAAGCTGCCAGAGTGACGATGGTGTTTGTAGAAAGAAGCACTTTTTTTCGGTGTCTACTTCACTGCACAGGAGTCAACAGTTTGTTTTATTTGCTGAGTAAGGGGAAAGGGCTTAACTTTCTTTCCAAAATAGGGGGGTGGAGCTTGGTTAAGACCCCAGGGGGTAATCAACAAATGTTTATAAGGGGAGGCTCCACCCCGCGGTCCAACCACTTATCCTTTTGTGTACTATTTTTCACAAAAAAGGTGCCCCTTTCGAATACCTTGTCTAGAACTTTCTATCCCTCAACTGCTGTAAATGCACTGTCTTTTAAATAGGAATCAGTCACAAAAATAGAACGTTTTTTCGACTTTATAAAGCCATAAAAATCGGCACCGTTTAGCCCTTTGGGCCACTTCCCTCCCATTTGATATACTTCAACTAGTGAAATCTCTACCCTTTCGTATACATGAACTGGCCTGAAAAAGGTACCCCCTTTCAGGCGGACCTCCCCATATAGGCCATCATAGGGAGTACCCTCCCCCTAAGGGGGTTGAGATGGGGGCTTAATAGAGAATTTACGATGTATGTACTCATTTCAGTGCTCTTTTGTCTGAGAACTCAATCAAATCAATTAAGTCAAATCAAGTAAGTGACTCACGGCATGTAAAATTACTCACAAAATTAATGCTCTCAAAAAAGGTCATATGAAATTTCCTATTTACTGATATGTTCAGCTATAAAATCTCAATGACATCTGTGATTTATGTTATAGCAGATATCATATTTATTTGATTAAGTGCCCAACCTCGAATAAGCACTCACCCAGGCTCGAATAACCGCCTTTCCTAAAGGCAAGAAAAGTTAATAAGCGCCCAGCCTCGAATAAATGCCCACCCTCTACCAACCCCCACCAAAAAAATGGAGTGAAGACCGAATAGTTTTCTTAGTATTTGACAAAAACCTTCAATGAATAGATAAAATTCTGCTTTGAAACATCTACACATTTTGTTGCAAAACAAAATTACTTAAAATTGTTGAAAATGGGAAAAATTTAATACACACCCAGCCTCGAATAAGCGCCTACTCTAAAGGACTAAAAATTTAACAAGCAGGGAACTTAATCAAATAAATACAGCATAGCGTAAGAAACCTCACAAAACTTTGTTTCATTGCTGTTTTCTGTTTCTTTTTTTTTGTTGATGATGCAAGAAAACCACCACACCAGATCTTTAGTACATGTAAGTTCAGTACTTCAAAAGGAAGAAAAACTCTGTACCTTTTTCTGGAGCATACACTAGCCATGATTTAATATCATCAGGATGAGTTGGTTGCAAAATGTTTATTAACATATTCAGCATCTAGTAGAACAACAAGCAAAAGTTGATGGAACATCACTTAAGTAATTGTTAACCCGCATCGTTCCCGTTCTACTCATCCATGCCTGCCCAATGCACTCTCAAGCACCCGAATTCCCCTTTTCCTTTAATGCCTGCTACGCAGGCTATATACTGTTTATCCAGTGTAATACAAATGTTTCTAATAATAAAAGTAATGTTAATCAAGTGTCTCAGTTCTTTTGAATAACAGAATTGTAATAAGCAGAGATTGAGACCACAGTAACGATCAGGGACAGACTCAAAAGCAAAAACGAAAGAAAATAACATTGCTGCCGTAATTGGGCTTATGTACCACTGCAGAAAGTCTTAAGTTCCCCTTTGGGACTAATTATGGAGGCTTGCTCTTAGTAGTGTAAAGAGGTGCATTATTGGTGAAATTTAGATATTTAAGACGCATGCATGTATTGTTTCCTTAGATTAGGAACTATACCTCACCTGACATAATCATTATCATTATTTAATTATTTATTTCTGCTTATAGACTCTAAATTTGTTTAATCTATCTTCTTACTATCCAGTAGTAAGACGAAGGCTATAATAATTTCATCTAAGATATACAGCAAGTAAAACTAAGGTCTTCACTTACAGTAAGATCACTGTCAGAGTCAGCAGCAATATGCTGCAAAGGAAGGCTCTGTGGAAGAGGGCGATCTCCCTGCCTGGACTCTCCTTGCCTAGATGGAGGCTTCTCACCATACCTTGATGGTGGTTTTTCTCCATTCCTGGAAGGAGGCTTTTCACCATTTCTTGATGGAGGAGGGAGCTCCTGTCCTCTGGATGGTGGTGGCCTCTCCCCTTGCCTGGATCCCTGCCGTGATGGTGGCACCTGGTAACTTTTTGTGTTAGTGTAGGGGTTCTTGCTTTTGATGCCAGCAGCTTCCGTTAACTTTCTGAGCTCCTCTCGCCACGTTTGAGTTATTGGAACTGAAATTGAGAGCACGTAATGATATTTAATTCAGTGCCAGGTCCAGACCTAGGACTTCTACCTGGATGAACCAGAAAGGATATAGAACAACTGCCTAATTTTTTTTCTACGGGTCGAAATGCTAAACTTGTAAAGCACTCAGGTCGAAATGCTATTACGTGTTATACATCCTAGAAGCCACTCAGACATAATAAATATCATGTCAGGACTTCTACCTGGATGAACCAGAAAGGATATAGAACAACTACCTAATTTTTTTTCAGCTATAGGTGGAAATGCTAAACATGTTATATATCCCCCTAGAAGCCCTCAGGCACAATAAATGTCATGCCAGGACCTCTACGTAGATGAACCAGAAAGGATACAGAACAACTGCCTATTTTTTTTCTACGGGTCGAAATGCTAAACGTGTTATATATCCCAAGAGCTCAGGCATAATAATATGACAGGACTTCTACCTGGATAAACCAGAAAGGATATTAATAGAACAAACGCCTATTTTTTTCTGCGTGTCGAAATGCTAAACGTGTTATTCTTAGAAGTGCTCAGGCTTAATAATATGCCAGGATTTCTGCAACTGACTTGGCAGTGCGCAAGAAGGGATAATTTGCCCGACTTGTAAATAGATATTTCCTTCAATCGATTGAGTCACTGGTTATGCAGGAGAACGTTTGCATTGTTTTGTTTTTACTGAAGTTTAATCAAAGAAAGCTTAAGCTAAAATAGGGAGATCGCAGTATATGCTCTTACGAACTATAAATTAGGGCTGACCTGGAAGACATGTTGAATAATCGTGCCACCATCCTTCAAAATATAATCTGGCTGTGTTTAGGGAGAGAATTTCCTCTTCCATCCAGATTTACTTGGTATGTTTGTTTGCTAGAATCTTGCCAGAATTGGGTTTACAAATTCGAATGGCTTGGCAATACTAAGTCCTTGAGTCTATAAATTACCGATCACAACATGTTTTGGAAGTATTGGGAAGTACGCCAAACGAGGTTATCGCAAGGTTCTAGAGCAAACACGGTCGCGACCTGGATTGATAAATTACTATTACATGAACTGTCATGCGCGTGATTTCTCCTTTCGTCACATAGTGAATAGTTTGTAAGCACATCCTCGACTCTTGAAACATAAATTTGTCTTGCGCCTCTATAGAAAGTTAAATTTCCCGCGAACTGTAGGTAGATCTCCTGCTTAACATAAGATTTGATAATTTATGCAAAAGTTGACCTCATGACAGTCAGAATAAAGAGCATTTATCGACTCAAAAATAAACAGATTTCCTACAAAGAGGTTTGAACACGGTTTTAATTAAAGTACTTTATGAGCCCTGCGGTAGTTGACCACAAAAGTGTTACAATGATGGATACTCAACTGGATGATTACGTCAATTGACATAGCAACCAGAGTCACTACGCATTTTTTAACTTCTCGAACGCTGAGGCTTGTGATGTTTTAAAGTGAATTTAATGAAAAAGTCATCATAGAAGCCTTGTTGCATAATTTATAGCAAGAAAGAACTAATGACAAGAAATTTAAGGCAACTTAACATTTTTCCTACATGATTGTGGCTAAATGTACAGTCATGATCAACAACTTCATTGCTGTGGCAAGAATGTTTTCTGTACTTTTTTTTTTTAGTTTATCAACTTCTTTCCAACATTTTGGGCAACATCATCTTTAAATGCTTCAGTTTTTTTTCTTTTTTTACATTTCCTCTTTACTAGTAGCAAAGCTCACGCATGCCCAAAGCATGCGCCAACGGAGCACAATGGGCAAGTAAATCTACCCATCCCAGGAAATTTGGTAATCACATGACCGTACACCAACTGTCTCTGACCGTCCGTCCACACCACAGGCATACCATTGTAACATAACTCAATCAACAGCCTGTATGGCAACCAAAATGCAAGTCGAGGTTATTTTGGCGGGAAATCACATAGCCACCCGCGTCACAACTAAAGAGTAATTAATAAAGACCAAAACGGAAAGTGGAAATTGTTTCTGTATCCGTGTTGTCTAAAGTATTAAGCTTAGATTAATTGTCATGTCCACAAATTTGGAATATAGAGCAGGAGAAAGACAGAGAAAGTAGACAGCAGGCCAGCGAAGGTCACCAATAAAAAGGGCGACAGAGATCTAGAGTGAGAGATAAAAAAAAACAAAGGAGCTATTTTTTTGTTGGAAGAACAACATGAAAATTTTGTAGCGGAGGTAACAACATGAGGAATTCTAGCGGCCACCAATGCAAGGTGAAAATGAGCAGAAGTGAAACAAAAAGTGAACAAGAACACATACGACATTTCCTCCAAAAAATGTGTAACTAAGAAGTTTCTGGAACTTTCACGTTGTAGTCATACAAAAAGCAACGGCAAAGAAATGTACAAAAAAAAGTGTGCTGCACGTGCAAAGATGCTTTTTTGCTAATTAGACCTATTGTTAATTGTTTTATCACCGTTCTCGTTCCCTTTGCCGCTTATTTATTAGCATATTACACGATTTTATATTTCGTTTGAACAAACTTTAAATATCATCGAGAGCTTGATCGCTTTTAGCCCTGGCTAAATCTATACATTATGTAAACGTCAATAAGCCTAATTTTTAAGCCGTTAGCAAGCAATGTGCACTTAAAATTATTTTTAATAATTTATCTCTGGTTTCACAATTATAATTGGAAATCCTCTTTAAGCTATGTTCAGCTCAATTTGACAAGCTAAAGAAATTTGCATACGGATAAAACTAAATATTAAAGTCCTTTCGTTCATTCTATTATAAAGGAAAAGCAGTTTAGAAAACTGAATTTCTAACTGACTTAGACTAAAAAAAGAGTTTTGATCTGTCTGGCAGAACAACGTCGCATACAAATAGGGAAACCACTGTTGTATTTATTAAGTAGTTATAAAAACTCACAATGAATTCAGAAGTGAAAGGCAAACAAAACCAGGCCGTAAATCCTGAAAAAGATTACCTCTATTTATTCTTAAAATCCTTCTTTCAGACAGTAAATTAACATTCACAAATTTTGGCTGTCCAGAAGCTTTTATAAATCAATTTATTAATGCCACTTAAATGAAAGCTGAAGTTTATGTCATTGTTGAAAAATACCGCAAACATTTTGTTATTGGAAGGACAGAACTTTACACAAAGTTCGTAACCTCTATGGACTACTTTTTCAACGCGACAGGAAATAAGCTATTTCTTTAATTAAGAAAGGCAACATAAGACATTCAAGTTCGCTAGTGACATCGAAGAGGGGTGTCATATCGTCCCTCACTCACAACAATTCATCGTTGCTAAGTGCAATTAGAACATCATTATAGTTTTCTTTAACATCAAAAAGGCGTCATACTTACCCAATCCGATGGTTGGAACAGCTTTTTCTTTAGCGAATACAACTTTATCAGCATTGATTGGCAATCTCAATCCCTGGTTGGATTTCAATGGTCTTTGGCGCATTTGGTCGATTGTTGGAGTGCAAACCATGTATCTTCCTACATTCTCTTCCACGCCAGAATCAATTACCGTACAAACTGGAATGTCTAAAAGTCCTTTCATATGTCTTACCCTTTGTGGATGCGGGTTATGTCTCGCAAAGAAAGGATTTTTGCTATTCCTACTTGGAAAGCTACTTGTACTTAGCGACGACGAACTTCTAGGCCATGCATACCGACTTGTTAGAGGCATTTTGTCGTCGAAATTTTCTTGAACTGTGCCTCTAACCAGAAGTGGTTGCCCTCCGCTTGGCGAAAACGTAGGCATATCTTCCATTCCCTGGTAAAAACACAAATAATCTAATGTTATGCCGTTATCTCGGGAACTAGACTAACTTTTAGCGTGTTCCCAAATGAAGTTATCCGATG